GCCTGCAGCTCCCAACCAATCGCGGCTTTCTCCGCCGGCGATGACCTCACTCCCTACCTTCCCATTGGCCGGCTATATTAAGAAAGTCGCGAGCGCCTTTAAATAGCGGCGCCGGCCGGCAGCTTGCGGCAGTGGCTGCGCGGCGTGAGGTGGGGCGGAGGCGTCTACCCCCGCGAAGGAGCCCTCGGAGCCGGGCGGGAGAGGCGGCTGTCGCTGCGGCCGTAGCGCTGCCCTGAGGGAGGGTACGGAGGCACGGTGCCGGTGCGGGGAGAGAAGAAGGGTGCGCCCGCCTGCCTGCGCGGGCCCGGCTCGCCACGGTGCCCTGTGAGAAGCGAGAGGAAGGGGGAGGCGGCGGCCGCGGGGAGGAGGGCGCTGCCATCGTCCTGCTGCACGGCAAGGCCAGCTTGGCGAGCCTGGCCATGGCCGCCATCCGCAAGAAGCTGGTGGTGGTGGGGGACGGCGCCTGTGGCAAGACCTGCCTCCTCATCGTCTTCAGCAAGGACGAGTTCCCCGAGGTCTACGTGCCCACCGTCTTTGAGAACTATGTGGCCGACATCGAGGTGGATGGCAAGCAGGTGGAGCTGGCCCTGTGGGACACGGCTGGCCAGGAGGACTATGACCGCCTGCGCCCTCTCTCCTACCCAGACACCGACGTGATCCTTATGTGCTTCTCTGTGGACAGCCCGGACTCGCTGGAGAACATCCCAGAGAAGTGGGTGCCTGAAGTCAAGCACTTCTGCCCCAACGTCCCCATCATCCTGGTGGCCAACAAGAAGGACCTGCGCAACGATGAGCACGTGCGCAACGAGCTGGCCCGCATGAAGCAGGAGCCGGTGCGCACCGAGGACGGCCGCGCCATGGCCATCCGCATCCAGGCCTACGACTACCTGGAGTGCTCGGCCAAGACCAAGGAGGGGGTGCGGGAGGTCTTTGAGACGGCCACCCGGGCGGCCTTGCAGAAGCGCTATGGCACCCAGAACGGCTGCATCAACTGCTGCAAAGTCCTATAGGGTGCAGCCGGAGCGCGGTGCTGGGCACAGCCGGTGCCCGGGTCGCCTGTTGGCAGGCGGAGAGGAGCTGGGTTATGCGTGCAGGGATGGGGGTGTCTGCCTGTCCCCCTCCACTGGGGGCTGGCGGTGGATCGGGGTGGGGGCTAAGGGAGGGGAGGAATGCTCCCTCAGCCTTGGCCCCAAAGGGTTGTGCTGGCTCAGCCATGGGGACAGAGGGGGGTGGGGGTGGGAATTGCATGCCCTGAGTCTTGGGAATCAAGTGGGGAGAAGCCTTCTCCCACCGCCGGCCCCTGCGAGTGCGTCGTGGGCTCTCGACCGCAGAAAGCTGCTGAGAATGGACTGAGCAGACGTTGTGCCCGGCTCTTCCCCTCCACCTGCTGCTCCCAGCTCCCGGGCGGCCTCCTCTCCTTTTGCAAGAGGAGAGCGTCGAAGCCGAGATGCTGGAAGGGACTTCTGCCTCCTCCTGCCTGCATGTGCCTCCCCCCGGGTGGGCTGGGGAAGGGGGGCCGTGTCTCCCCGGGCTGCCCACCGTGTCCTCGCCTCTCCCACGGGTGTCTCGGCCTGAGCCTGACCTGCTGGGGAAGTTGGTGCCCTGAAGACCGAGACCGGGAGGGGAGGGCCATCCCAAGCGACGCCTGTATATATCTTACCTTTTCTGTCTTGTGCAAACTGGGGTAGTGCAGGGGGTGCTTGTTTAAAGTGAGGTGGGGAGGGAGTGCCCAGCTGGGACTTGTGTTGTGCAAAGGAACTTGCCTTGAGTGACTGATGCCTGCTGATGATGCGAGCCTTCGACCCTCTCCAGCTGCAGAAGCCACCAGGCTGGAAAGTAAAGCTGACCTGCTCTGTCCTCCTTGCTGGACATCCTCCTCCCGACGGCCCCAGCAGGATGAGCGAGGGGGAAGGGGATGATATTGCCATATTATGATCTTGGTGCCTGCTCCTTCCTTTAATGTTGTCTTCTGCGAGTGTGTTGATTTGGGTTTATTTAAAAAAAATTATTTTTCAAAAGAAATTACTTTGCACAACTTGGTGGATTTTTTTTTTTTAAATTAAACACTCAATGCACTTGTCATCTGCAAACAACACTGTAGCATTGGAAACGTTCGTACTCGGTAACCTCATCTGGGTCTTGTTTTAAATTGTGATTTCAACACAAGACAAAACCACTGTATCTTTTTGCCTTGGAAAAAATGGGTGAAAGCGCTGTTCCTTATGCAGTGAGTACATCAGACATTTAATACTAAAGGGCAATTTTAAAGAATCTAGGTTTATTTAAAACTTTATTTTCACAGGGTAGCCAACCCCAGGTGAAAATAATCTTGTGTTTCTCTGGTTCAGAGAACAAATCTATCCATTTATGTTTGTTTACTTTTTGTCCCTCTTCCCTCAACAGTGGTACTGAGACTGTTCTGTTCTTGTTTTTAATAAACTGACGTGGCAAAAACTGAGATGTATATGATGTTTACATAAAATTATGAACTGTGTATGCAGGTTTTTTTTTATGTAAAGTATTAAAAGATTCTATGCTGACACTCGTGAGAGCAGTGGTGTGATTTATGGAGGCTTCCCAGCTTGCAGGGGCAGCCCTGGGTGGTGTTGAACCAGCCCTGAGTTTGCCCACTGCCTGGGTGCCCTCTTTGGTTTTTTTTTTTTCTTATTTTTTTTTCTCTGCTGGCCAAAATACCCGTCTGGCAGTTTCCAGAGGAAGGGTGGTGGTTATATTTTTGTCTGGGGAAGCTGTTTCCTTACTTTTTCTGTTACAGATCGCATGTGGAGGCAGCGAGCAATCCCTCCTTGTTGCTGCCGAAGCCCGAGGAGCCTCCGTGCCTTGTGCGTGGTGAACTTGGGCTCAGGCCCCCCCAGGGCTCCTTTACCTGCTGCCTGGGGGGAGCTTTGGGCTCGTGTAGTGACAAAACAGGCAGAAAACGGGGAAAACAGGGCTTATTTTGTCAAGTTTACCCAGGGCTCCTTCACCTGCTGCCTGGGGGGAGCTTTGGGCTCCTGTAGTGACAAAACAGGCAGAAAATGGGAAAACAGGGCTTATTTTGTCAAGTTTACATTAATGACCTCCTATTTTCTTGGAGCAAATAGGGGTTTGCCGCGGAGGGGCTTTGCTCGCTGTTGAATCCCAAGCTGGCGCTGCAGCCCTCTCCTACATTAGCTAATTGCCGGCCTCGTTAATTCCCCCAGGGGTGTGAGAAGGCTGGGTTTCTGCGGGCAGGGGGATCCCTGGCAGGGCAGGGTGCCTGCCTCCTCCCTCTCCCTCCCCTGCAGCAGCAGAGGTGGCCCTGCTGCAAAACGCATGACATCATTTTCACCCAACAACAAGTCGGAAGTGCTGATATCTCCCTTTCCCCCCCCTCCTTTTTTTTTTTTCTTTTCCTCCCGAAAAACTCCCTTACTGCGTCGCTTCTCGTGATCCTTAATGAAAGGCAGTGGCATTTTCACTTAGGCAATTCAGCCACGAGTTCCTAAAAGGTTCCACGAGCCCCATGTTCGGGGTATCTGTCTCCAAGGATTTTTGGACATCAATAAAATAGCCATTTTTCCTGATACTTAAAAGATGAGTTTCTCATCCTCAATTTGAGAATCCTAAAATCACTTTTTTTGGTCCTAAAACATCCTTTGAAAAATAAAATCAAATCAAATCTCAATTTCGGGTGTTTAAAGGGCCACAGCCGAAGTCCCCGTTCTCGGGAAGGCACCCACAAGCCCAGGTCTGGGCACTGCAGCACCTTCTGGGTGACACCCACCCACCAGTTATATTAAAATCAGCGCAGGAAACTTTTTCCTCAAGCTGATTGCAATAGCAAAATTTATAAATTCTGTTAGGCTGCAGCAATAACTAATCTTCTCCAAAGCCCCGAAGGAGAAAGCATTAATATTTGTATTTTAAACACTGGGAAATGAGTTAGCGTCGCATCCCTGTATAATTAACTCTACCAATATTTTCCACTGAGGTGCTTACAAGGTAATTACATTTGTTATTTCCAGTTGGACCTTTGCCCAACTCCGGGCCGCAGCATCTGGCCCAAGGTGGGGAAAAGCTGCAAGAAAACACATCTTGGTTTTAACCGAGCGTGACCTTTCCCGGCCACTTTGTGAAGCTGTGAGTCAGCTGGTGGAGTGAGGTCACCCCCGTGGGTGTCCACCCAGCGGGGTCAGGTGGTGGGACCAGAGCCACAGCTCGTTTTGCGTCGTGCTGCATCGCTGGGCTTCCTCGTTAGCGTCACCGCTCTGGCGGAGGGGGGACACGAGGTGTGGCTCGTCCCACCCTCCTTGACTCAGCCACCCTGCCGTGGCCAGGATGACACCCAAGGGTCACACCGGCTGCGCTGTGAGATGTCACGCTGACCAACTCCACCCCATAGCTCCATCTGCCCAAGTGTAACGGAGGGTCTGCCCACCGCTGGGACCACCCCACAACCCACACCCTGCCTTCAGACAGAGGGTTGGTTTCATGTGGGCCTCCCCTTTGCTTGTCTTCATTTGGTTCCCCAGCTCATGTTCATCTGGTCCCAGCCTGTCTTCTGTAACCTTTTGACAGGAGAAGAGGTGACACGGAGCAACTTCGAACACCAAAGGAAGGTCAACAACCAACTCATCTCACAGTCCCCGTGCACGCTGCTGGGCATGCACTTTCCTGGCTGTGTTCACATGCCTGCACAGATGTCCTCAGCCGAGGCAAGGTTGCACCTTCCCTTACCCTGTTTCAGGCCAAGTTCAACATCTGCAAAAGGTGTTTCTTCTGGTGGAAACCAGATCTCCACGGGGGGAAATTGCTCCATACTGGTACCAGTGCATCCTTAGCAACAAATCCTGGAAATACAGAAAAGCAGCAAATCCTGGAAACACAGCTGAAGGCCCATCTATCTCCATCATTCTCTGTTCAAGCAAGGAGGCCACTTGTGCACTCCCACCCCAAGATCGGGTTGGACCCTCTGACAGTGTGAGGATGTCTCATCTGGGGCAGCCTGAAAATGAAGGTGCTCAGGTCAGGACCTTCCCTTCTGGAGGCACAGCAACAGCAGGTGGGAGTAGTCCTTGGATGATCAAATAGAGTCTCTGTCTAGAAATCACACTCCGTAGGGTGTGCCAAACGCGGGGTAAGTCATCTCTGGTGGGAGAAAGAAGCCAGGAAATATCTTTGGTAGTTTTTGCAAAATGTTTTTTAATGCACTTGTTATGCATTGGAGTTAAAACTACATGGGTTTTTGTACTTTTTTTAACTCTCACGCAACCCCACATACTACGGTGGGGTCACATGAGTGCAAGTGAGGGCAGGATTTGAAGCCATGCCCTCTTACATGGCTTTCTGATTTTGCAGGAATAACTTAATTGAGCTCCATTTGCCTTACGCTGCCTTGGCCAGGTTGCAAGTCTGCTTCAGTAATTCAATAAAGAACTGACACAAACTCCCTGCAGTGAGAGGGAAAAAATACAAGTGCTCTGAGGAACTCCATAAGTATCTTCCTAGAATCAGTGTTGCTAACTGTAATTCGCTCACAGATTTAATTCCTGGACTTCAGAAAGGGCAGAAAGTAAAAAATGCCCAGTTTGATCCTTCAGATTTCACTGTATGTAGCACCAGTGAATCCAGTTCATTTGGTTTTGCTGGTTCTGTAACAATACCAGTGCATGAACAGAAATCACATTAATAATCCATTAAGCTAACTTTAAAGGATGTATCTAAGACAAGCCATTTGCCCCTGCAGCCCTGAAAACCTGTTTTGCAGATCTGGCTAACCCAGTGTGTACATGAAGATGGAGATGCTCCAGGTCAGGGATTCAAGCCTTCTTCACAGTTAGGCAGCCAGCAGACGTGGTGGTGGTGGTGGGGAAGCTGATAGGCATCTACTTCAAGGAAGCTTTTGGAGAAAGTTTTAGCTCTGTTGCTTGAGGAGTCACTTTGAAACCTTTTGGAACTCCTTGTGAACACCTTTAGATGTGGACGTCAAGGGAGGGAAGGATTTCAGCTCACTTTAGCAGTCTTGAAGTTATGTATCTCACCTAAGGTCTCTTTCCTGCCAGCAGACAGAAGCAGGCTGCTCCAGAGGACCTCTCTCCATTGCCTGGGAAGGAATGTTCTCACCCCCTGGAAGGACCTGCAGATGAAGCTGTGTATTATGGGCTTTGCCAACACCACTGCCTGCTCACCTCCCACCAAGGTGGCACACACCACCGCAGGTCTATTCCCACCAGGAGCGTTCATCCCCTCCAGTTCCACCCGACTGGATGGGAGGTGTTTGGGCCACGCTCACTGTTTCCGTGCCCTGGTTAGCCAGCAGGAAGGGCAGGGTATGGTCCCACGTGTGGCTGGGCACATCCAGCCACTGCTGCAGGGGCAGGCAGGGAGGTGTGGGAGAAGCACTGTCTAGGGAGGGAGCCTGAGCAGATTGCTACAGCTGGATAAGCAACTCCAGAGAGGACAGATTAGGGTGAGATATTTGGTGAGAACATCATCAAGCCTAGGATTTGGAGGCCATGTGTATATACCTGTATGAACTATATGAGAGACACTAGAAGAGGTTGCCCAGAGAGACTGTGGGTGCCATGGGGCATCCCTGGAGGCGTTCAAGGCCAGATTGGATGGGGCTTTGAGCAGCCTGGCCTAGTGGGAGGTATCCCTGCCCATGGCAGGGGGTTGGAACTAGATGATCTTTAAGGTCCCTACCAACCCAAACCATTCTATGATTCTATGAAGCAAGAAGCTTTGTGGTCATCATAAGATGTGTCTATATGCATCAGCAGTGAACTATCCATCCATAATTCAGCAGCAAGCACCATTTGGTACAATAATAACTGCCAGCATATCTGCTTTTCTTACATGATTGAAGCATCAATCTCACGCTAAGAGGTGGGCTGTAGGAGTGGGGTTAACACCAGAGGCACTGATGTGGTACCTACACCCAACGGGAGCAGCAGAGCAGGAAGAATATTAGATTGGTGCCTACAGCACGTACAAAGTGTATGTGTTTTCATTTTTCCCCCCCAGTTTGCCCGTCTGCGTGGTTCCTCTGTCTGTGCTAAATCTTGCTTCCAAGTCCAGAGGACTAGTGGGTGGGATTTTTCACTAAATGCTTAATTCTGCTGCTTTTAGGCCATTCATCCTCTTCTGCATTCAAAGCCTGATATGGCAGGGCTGGAGATAGGAATTTGGAAACAAAGTGGATTTCCTGGTGGGCTCATTTGCATGATAATGTCCCCTTCCCTCCTGGCTCCCAGGAAAAGAGGGTGGTGGCAGCTCTGGGAGCCACCGAGGGCCCCGGGGAGGTGGGGAGGGAGGTGCTGGCAGGGGACAGCCCTGCAAGAGCCTTTTCTCCTGCTCCTAAGCTTTTGTGCAGTGGTTTTTGGTTTGTTTTTTTTTTTGATACAATGGGATTTGAGCCTACAGTCCCTGCTCTGTGGGGCTCTTCCCTCTGGCAGCAGCAGAACAAGCCAGGGCTGCAGATTCGGGTCCTTCTTTGCAGGACTCTCTGGGGTTTGATGGCAGCAGCCTGATCCTTCCTGGTGACAGCCCATTTTCTTCTCT